TCAGCGGCCAGGCGCGGCCGCCGCTGCTGCGCCCGGCGCCTCCGCCCCACCCGCCGGGCCAGGCGGCGCGGCCGCCGGGCCATCGTCCGCACCACCACCTTCGGCCGCAGCGGGGCGCGCCAGCACGCGGCCGGACGGCCTGGGACGACTCAGCGCCGCCGCCTGCACCACTCCACCCCGGCCGCCCGCGGCGCCCTTGCCGCCCTTGCCGCCCTTCTTGCCTTTGGAGGAGCCCTTCGAGCCCTTGCCCTTGCTCTTGCCTTTGCCGCCGCTCTTGCCGCCATCGCCTCCCTTGCGGCCCGTGCCGCCCTTCCCCTTGTTCTCCGGGCGCTCGAGGTAGAGCAGCACCCTGGGGCGCTCGGGCTCATCTGGGCTCCGGGTCTGCTGGCCCCGCACAACCAGCCCTGACGCCCGACGCATAAGGGCGTCGAGTGGCCGCAAGGCACTCTCCACCAGCAAAGACTCGGTGCCGAAGGCCATCGTGGTGACGAACGTGCCAGGGATTCTCTCCCAGTTGGCCCCGTCCTCGCTCCACTTGCTCTGATCCCAGACCCCCGTCACTAGGCCGGGCGTGGCAAGGACGCGCCAGAGGCTGCGCAGGGCGCTGGCGCTCTCGCTCTCCACAACGCCGCTCATGGGCTCATCCAACGGCCACGCAACCCCGAGGTGACGCGCGGCCTCAGAGCACACCGCCTCAGGCCAGCCCTCGCGAAGCTCCCTCCAAAGCTGCTGACCATGCTTGTTCATATAGAACTGGTCGGCCACCGTGAAACCTTCACAGACCAGCACAGTCGAGCGGAGGACAACCTTGAGGCTGGACTCGTGACGCGCCGACGCCCGCTCAAGGCGGTCCAAGCGCTCCTCGTGAGACGCGAGCGCCTGGTCGACCTGGGCCCTGCGAGCGGCAGCCATCGCGATGGCAGGCCGGGGGAGGGCAAGCGCGCCTGTTGTCTTTGAGGCTGCGGCGACGAGCAGAGCAATGAGGCAATGGGACAACGATTTCGCATCATGGACAGACACGTGCGCACACAATGTGTATGGCGGTCGGCAATGGGAGGGGCAGGGCCGGGGGGGGAGCAAGGAGGAGAGGGGGAGGGGAGGGGGAGGGGGGGAGGAGAGGGGGAGGGGAGGGGGAGGGGAGCGGGCGGGAGACAGAGCGGGCAAAGCAGGAGTACCGACCACCACCACCGAGGGGTACACGAGGGAGGACACAGGAGAATAACACACACACACCACCACGGCTTCCGCATATCACAAACTCACACCATGCAACTGCCCCGGCTGCGAGGGCGTGGGGGCGGCGTGACCTGCGTCAGTAGGCGCAGGTCTGGCACATGACGGAACAGTAGAACCGTCTTGCCGCCCCCGCGACGTCACGTAGGATCGCCGCCTGGCACAATGGGTGCAGCCACACGAAACACAGACTGCTGCGGGAAACCGTTGACCACCCGAGGGAAGGAGGAGGAACACCGCCAGCTTTCGATCCAACACCCGGCAAAGAGACGCGGCGTCGAGGGAAGGCCCCCAGGGGGCCACCGCCAGCTTTCGATGTAACGCCCGGCAAAAACGCGGCCTCGAGGGATGGCCTTAACCGTGGCCCGCGGGGCGCCGCAGCGCGAGCCTCAAGTTAGCTCCCGGGCCAGGATGCCCACGACCTGGAGCGCGACCCCGGGCTTTGGCTGCCGCGCCCCTCCCGCGCCCGGCGGCCATCACCTTGGCTCCGCCCTTGGCTTTCGGTTTCGCTTTTGGCGCGACTGGGGCAGCCACAGGGGCCACTGCCGCGGGCGCCAAAGGATCCGGGGGGGCCGGCACGCGCACGCCGCGACACCATTTCTCATGTACGCCACAAGGGCGAGAAAGCATACCAGGTGGATCAGTGGGCTCAAACACCTTACCACATTTGGCACACGTTCTATTAAGGAGCTCACTCCCACGACACTTATTCTCGTGCGCGTGTCTGCACCCCTCTTTGACCTCCACATGACATTTACGACACTTGGCCATCCCCGGTGTGATGGCGAAACCGACGGCCGTACACCGACGGAAATGCCACTTAATGTCCTTGGACAGGACCTGAATGCCGCATTTTTTGCAGAAGTCTACATCTTGCCAACAGAGGGCGGCGACCTGGGGAGGGGGCGCGAGCCACCGCAAAGACTGCTCCGAAACCATGCCCTGGCGGCCCAAATCCGCCGCGCGATCCGCTAGTTCGTTGTCATGCACGCCGGTGTGCCCATAAACGTGTTCCCACGTCACCTGGCGCCGAGCCATGACCTGCTCCGTAAGCCCTCGTACAGTCTCTGCCAATTCCTCATTTGATTTCACCTCCCAGAGCCCACGGGCAGTGTTGGCGGCGTACTCCGAATCATAGCGGATGTGCACGGGCACATCTCCGCCGTCAGGCGCCTCATTCAGAAGCCAATGCATGGTTTCCCCTATGGCCGAAAGCTCAGCTGTATTATTCGTCTGGGTCCTGGCGCCCATCCACCTGTGATCCCAGGCACGACACACCACCGGAGCGTGCAAAACATAGTCGGGCACCACCCCCGGGCTGCCCGGCCCTTCATAACGAAAAATAACAGCGCCCCAACCCGCCTCCCCATCTAGCCCCGACCCGTCCGTGGCAACCCACCATCCTAGAGGTGGTGCGGCGTGTGGCCCGTGGAGAACAGGCTCCCATTTACCGAACTCAACCTGCAGGGCATCTCGCAATTCGAGCCTCGCGGGACACGTGGCCTTGTGGTATTTGACATCCCTACCCATATACTGTTTGCAGTCAGGGCACTGGTGACTCAGACTGGTGACGAGCATAGGGTCCCGAACTGAGTGCGCCGCATCGTAGTGGTACTGAAGCTGGTTACCCGTACCGAAAGTCTTGGAACACACGGGGCAAGAATACGCAGTCTCCTGGCCCCCCTCCTCGTCGTCGTCGGGGGGGGAGGGGGGAGGAGGAGGAGGAGGAGGAGGAGGAGGAGGAGGAGGAGGAGGAGGAGGAGGAGGAGGGACGACCGACGACGACAACGACGAACCCGCCCCCGACGACGGCAAAGGAGCCCCGGGACGCCACGCATTGATCGCTGCCCGCTGCTCGGTCGTAAGCGGCTCACCCGGGAAGCTCGCATCGATTGCACGTCTCCAGCCACGGCGGTGCTGTGCGCGTCTGAACCAATCAATCTCGGCCACTGAGAGCTTCCTGACACACTTCCTGAGCCACTGATACTGCCAGATGCGGCCCACCGTAGGGGTGCCCCCCCTTGCTGACAGCCACCCGAACAACACTTGCTTCGGAACGCGCCACACCGGCATTCGAGCCACGTGACCCAGCCACTGCAGCGCCAAACGCGCCGTTAAATCCTCCATCGAACGCCATTGGGCTGCTCGATACATCATAGAGTCCGACACCTCCAGATCACGCATAATCAGCACATCCATACCGAACGCTCGGCGGACCCCATAATTTGCCACGCGCTGAATTCTGCGCAGATCGTGCTGCGTCCATCCCCGAGACCGCGAGGCGGACGTCAGGAGCCCAATCACGCACGCGTGCACAATGTGGAGTCTGGTGCAGATGTCAACTCCGCTCGTACGTCCACGGCCGTGCGCCGTCCCCACAGCCCAGCCCTTGGCCAAGGATTTAACGAGCGCGTTGCCCGCCGCCACACGTTTGGTCGTGTCCGCGGTAAGAGCCCCACTACGGCAGTGAATCCCCCCGATGTGTTTGACCTGCACCACCTCGAACTCCGTAAGAACGTCGTACGGCGCAGGGGGCACTCCACAGACACGAAGGCGCTCCGTTTTGCCCCGATTGAGTTTCTCGTCCCAGTCAGCCATCGTGGCCTCGAACAAAGGGTCGGCCACCCGCATTTCATCAGCCATGCCAACCACGGCCGTGTCATCCGCGAATCCCAAATCGCCAATTACGGTGGAACGGACCGTACTAGCGAACCCCTTTTCTCCAGAGATGTGAGTACGTGTCCGGGCACGCTTATTCAGTTTGCCATCGATCTGGTAGTCCCAAGCGAGACCGGGGGAGTGTCCAGCCGCATCAGCCCGACGTTTCCGCCGCAGGCGGAAGTCTCGGAGCACTGCATCATGAAACATGTTAAAAAGTGGAGGGCTGGACGGGCACCCCTCCCGGAGGCCGCGGAGAGGGTACCATTGAGACGACAAGCCCTGTAGCACACGTACTTTGTAGCCCGTGTGCTCGTGCAGCGCCTTGCACACGCGGATGAACTCCAAGGGGCAGCCTCGTCGTTCTAATAGACGCCACAGCGCAGGGCGGCACACTCGCGGGTACGCCTTTTCAATGTCGTAGAACGAGATGACCACCGCGTTACCATTGGTAAGAGCACGAGCCTCTTCAATAATGCGCCGCGCGACCTGCAGGGCGTCATCCGTGCCCCGGCCTCGTCGGAACCCAGACTGTTCCTCGGCCATAAAGCCCTCAGACCACTGAGCGAGCCGAGAGGCCACGACCCGAGCCACTAACTTAGAGCCCACCGACAACAGCGTGATGCCGCGCCACGTGTTTTTGTCAGACCTGTTGCCTTTCTGCTTCCAGAGCGGCACCACCAAACCCACCTTCCATTCATCGGGCCAATCTTCAGCCTCGCCGTCGTCCTCTGCCCGGGCCGCACGGCCCCACATCTCTCGCACGATTTCAAACACTCGTGTGCGAAGGGTATCCCCGCCATACTTTAAGGCCTCAGCTACGAACCCGTCTTCTCCGGGTTGTCGCCCTGTTTGCATTTTCTTGACACAGGCCGCCAACTCAGGGTCGGTGGGAGGAGCGGCAAACCACTCCGCGACCACCGCCGTCTGTGGCACGTGCTGCCACACATGCTCAGCAACGACCCCCACGTCCCGGGAGATGGCAGCAAAGTGCTTCTTCCACTTCTCCCGCTCCCCGGCGACGTCCCCGGCGCTCCAGCGACCGGAGTCGCATCTGTCCCCGCGCCGAAGCCGGAGGTCTCGAAAGAGCCTAAACAGCTCGCCCTGGTCCCCGCTACGGGCCGCAGCGGACGCCTGAGTGCCAATGTCTCGCCAGTACGCGTTCTCCAACTGACGCAAGGACCGGCGACGATCCCGCCGCGCCAACCGCCGCGCCTCTAAAGCGGCGGCTTTGGTATCCTCTGACGCCATTTTCCAAGCTGTCTCGGCCTTGGACACAGCCTCGTCGAGTCGGCGCTTTGTGTCCTCATGGCCCTGAAGCCACGGGATCTGGTGCCTTTTGACCCGCACACCCAACACTTCCAACGCGACTTCCCTCACAATCCGACAGACGTCCCGCCACACGGGCGGAGATGCACAGCCTAGGAGGCGCTCGGTGATCAATTTTTCGAAATCGCTCCTGGCCCGCTTGGCAAGACCAGAAGACCCCGCCATGGCACCGTAATTGGGAACAGGTTCGCGGGCCTCGTCAACAGTGGCCACACGAGCCCACTCCACGTCAAGCCGACCACACACTTCAACCGGCTCATGGTCCGTGTATGGGGCCCACGGTACCACCCCGTCCTCCCTCTCATCTCCTCCCCCCAGACTCCTACCCCCTTTTCGCCTACTCCGTCGCCCAAGCTCGTCCTGTTGGCCCCGTGGACCAAAATGGAGGGTGCGGCACGACGTGAAAAACTTCCGGTCCCGTGGCCGGACGAGCACGTGGTCGAGCTGGTGGGCGGAGCGGTACCGCAGGTGCCACCACGTGGCAGGCTGAGGCTGCTCATACATACTACTGAGGATACATAAAGGGACTGATTGGCACATAGCCACCAGATCACGCCCACTGTCCGTGCGGCGCGGTGAAGCATGAAGACCCAACACACTACGCTCCTCGTCATTTTGGGGCCGGCCGACTTCAGCATTGAAGTCCCCACCGACGATCACCAACTGATTCGCGCCCCGGACACGGGCCTCGA